ACTTGGGAGTTGACGTGTCGGGGGATGGATTTGTGAAGGATGAGGTTAATCATAGAATTGATGAGGGAAAAAAGGTGAGGGGTGCATTGAGGTATATGTGGAGTCAAAAAACATTATCTATGGAGGCAAAGAAGGGAATGTATGAAAGTATAGTAGTACCAACACTTATATGGATGTGAAGCTTGGTGGTAAATGCAGCAGCGAGGAGACAGTGGAGGCAGTGGAAGATGCCCCTGTTAAGGGCAATGTGTGGTGTAAATATTATGCAGAAAATTCGGAGTGTGGAAATTAGGAAAAAGTGTGGAGTTAATAAAAGTATTAGAGGGCAGAAGTGGGGTTGTTGAGGTGGTTTGGTCATTTAGAGAGAATGGATCAAAGTAGAATGACATGGAAAGCATATAAATCTATAGGGGAAGGAAGGCGGGGTGGGGGGGGTCGTCCTCGAAAGGGTTGGAGAGAGGGGGTAAAGGGAGGTTTTGTGGGAAAGGGGGCTTGGACTTCCAGCAAGCGTGCGTGAGCGTGTTAGATAGGAGTGAATGGAGACGAATGGTACTTGGGACCTGACGATCTGTTGGAGTGTGAGCAGGGTAATATTAGTGAAGGGTTTCAGGGAAACCAGTTATTTTCATATAGTCGGACTTGAGTCCGGGAAGGGGAAGTACAATGCCTGCACTTTAAAGGAGGGTTTGGGGATATTGGCCATGTTGGATGGATATGTTGTGTACTTTATATGTGTATGCTTCTAAACTGTTGTATTCTGAGCACCTCTGCAAAAACAGTGATAATGTGTGAGTGTGGTGAAAGTGTTGAATGATGATAAAAGTATTTTCTTTTTGGGGATTTTCTTTTTTTTTTGGGTCACCCTGCCTCAGTGGGAGACGGCCGACTTGTTGAAAAAAAAAAAAAAATATATAAAATATATATAATATATAATATTTTATATATATATATAATATATATATATATTTTATAAATATATATATATATATAATTATATATATAAAATAACAGTGGACCCCTGAGTTTCGGCAGCCTCGACTTTCACGAAATTCGCCCTTTCCCGGGCGAGTTTTTTTTTTTTTTTTTTTTTTTTTTTTTTGAAAATTTGGCCTCGAGTTTCGGAAAAAAACTCATGTTTGTCGGCGACCGTCCGGTACTCGTCCACCCATCACCATGCACACAAAGCCAGTCTCCTACGCCATTCATGCTCAGTGTGCCATTGTTTACCAACATGTGACCATCACCCCGCAGGTTCATACAATACATTTCATAATAATCCATTGTTTTTTGTGCTTGCAACTGCTAAATAAGTCATCATGGACCCAAGGAAAGCTAGTGAAAAGCCCTTTGGAAATAAAGGAGTGACGGGATGTGGAAGAGTTGGGTGGAGGACCACAGGAAGAGCTAACCACTGACAAACTGCAAGAGCTTCAACTGGAACAGCATCAGACCACAGCCGGGGAAAACTTGCTTCAGAGGAGGAGGAAGAGGAGTGGATGGGGTTTGCCTTCTTCAGTGATTAAGGACATGTGTGGAATGAGTTGCAAAGTTTTGTTGAAAAGTATCACCTTGACCAAGCTGAAACAAGCCGTATCTGCAACATGTACAATGACATTGTTGTGTCCCACTTCAGGGAAATCTTAAAGAAAAAACCAGAAAAAGACCTCTCTGGATAGATATTTTGGTGCGCCAGGGGTCCAGTGATTTCTCAATTTTTTCCCAGTGGCATTAAAAAAGGGGAAGTAACCCCAGATAAGGACTTGCTACCTAAAGTCCTAAGGGAAGGAGATTCTCCTTCCAAACAATAGTGTACACCTTCCTCCTATCACCTCCTCCCATCTTCCATCCACCCAGAAGTCTTCAGTAAAGGTAAGTGTAATGTTATGATTATTTATTTTAAATGCACGTACTTGATTTCTGATTGTTTTCATTATGTAAATCTTTATTTAATTTGAAAAAAATATTTTATTTTAATATTTTTGGGTGTCTGAAACGGATTAATTTTATTTTCATTATTTCTTATGGGGAAAATGGTTTCGAGTTTCGTGAATTTTTGCGTTAAAATGTATCGAATACCGGATTTAACGTATACCGATGCCATCGAATGCTGGGGGTCCACTGTACACAGTACGATATCCCCAACCTACGTAAAAATCAACCTACGATGCATTTCAGCGTAAAAATTTGACCCCGACATACGGTGAAAAACTCGACCTACAGCATTCATCCCATATGCGTCCCCACATGTCTGTCCGCCTGAGCATGCCTCAGCTGACCTGCCTTCAGTTAGTGTACCAATGTTTACAAGCCAGAGCGGTCACTACCACGCATACATTCGGAACATTTTGTATTATTCCAGTGTTTTAGTGCTTCTAACTGCTAAATAAGCCACCATGGGCCCAAAGAAAGCTTCTAGTGCGAACCCTGTGGTAAAAAGGGTGAGAAATACTATCATACCACGGTCAGCTGCTGCTGCACCACGGTCAGCTGCTGCTGCTGCACCATGGTCAGATGCTGCTGCTGTAACACCATCAGCTGCTGCTGCACCATGGTCAGCTGTACTACTTGAAGATGTGGAGAGACTGTTGTTGGTGTGGCTTATCAAGAATATTGAGAAACAATTAACCCCAAAGGGTTAGCCACCCAGGATAACCCAAGAAAGTCAGTGTGTCATCGAGGACTGTCTAACTTATTTCCATTGGGGTCCTTAATCTTGTCTCCCAGGATGCAACCCACACCCGTCGACTAACACCCAGGTGAACAGGAAAAAATGCCTGGAACTAGTGCTCATATTGGTGAATTTAAGGCCAGCAAAGGTTGGTGTTACGGCCCCCTGCCAGCCGGCAGTACCACTGGGTACATCATCAAACCCATTGTGGGGACTGCTGAGCCGGCCTTAGAGCAGTATGTACCTGAACACCTCACGGTATGCATCTAAGCAGTAGGTACCTGAACACCTAATCGTACACATCTACTGGCTTTAAAAGCATTATGTACCTGAACACCTCACGGTACACATCTAAGCAGTAGGTACCTGAACACCTAATGGTACACATCTACTGGCTTTAAAAGCAGTATGTACCTGACCACCTCACGGTACGCATCTATGCAGTAGTTGCCAGAACACCTAATCGTACACATCTACTGGCAGTAGAGTATTCTACTGGCTTCTACTGGCGTTAGAAGAAGCGCTCACCGCAGCTCACTGAGTCTGTTGGCCTCAGTTATTTGACGGCCGCATTCAGTGAGCTTGCAACATAGTGTGTGCTGCATCGGACCACCTTGCGGTGTGTCAACTGGTCTTGAAGGCGGTAGATAGTACTCACCAGACCATCTTACGGTGTACTTCTACCGGCCTTAGAGAGTATTTACAGGACTACCGGTGATGTCTGCGGACTCGCCGCCTACGCTGGTCAACTGTGGGCCGGAGTCATCGGATGCTGTTTAGTGGAACATTACATGAAGAAAAGGTTGGAGTGTTACACTGAACTGGGCTAGGACCGTAGTGTGACACTTAAGCAAGTATGATGGAGTGGAACACTGAGATATGCTACAGGACCGTAGTGGAACACTGAGAAGAAAAGGGTGTCGTGTGACACTGAAGATGGTCAGGTTGTAGTGTACACTGAATAGTGTCATGTGACTGGCCTCGACAAAGACGCTATGCGGGTAGTGTGACACAGATCAGCCGGGCTGTGGCTCGTACGTTGGTTTGCGTGCAGCCAGCAGCAACAGCCTGGTTGATCAGGCGCTGATCCACCAGGAGGCCTGGTCACAGACCGGGCCGCGGGGGCGTTGACCCCCGAAACTCTCTCCAGGTAAACTCTCTCCAGAGACAAGGGTGTCAAGTGTGACACGGTTGCGAAAGTGTGTGTATTACACGGAGAAAAGGGTGTCAAGTGACACAGTGGAGAAAGAGCGTCACAACTCGGATAAGTGTCGTGAGAAACGCAGTTGATTGTAATTTATTATTTTAAATGTTACTTAATTTATTATTTTAGCATAGATATATATAGTGACACAGTAGTGTCAAGAGAGTTGTAGCCTGTGTAGGGCTACGAATTATTTATTATTTTAGTTAGATGCTAATTATAATTTATTATTGTAACATGTATATATTATCAGATGTTTATTAGTTCAAATACCTCTAGACCAAAGATTGTGTGTGTTTTTATATAATATTAAAGAGTAATTTATTGTGTATTATGTATCCCGAACTTTTATATTACTAACACCCAATGTAAAAAACCATTTGGTGTTTTTGTAATAGTTGGTTTGAGAGATTTAAGAATCATAGTGGCATACACAGTGTGATAAGGCCTGTTCTGGAAGAAAATGCCAAACAGGACCTACATTACTCAGGAGGAAAAGCCACTTCCAGGACACAGTGTCTCATCAGTCATCTCTACATCTTCAATAAAGGTAAGTGTCATTTATTCTTCATTTAGTATAGTAGTACATACACAATATATATTGTGCATGTACTACTCTACTATTGTGCATGTATCCTTCTTTTTGTGTGTAGGAAAATGTATATTTCATGTGGTAAAAAAAAAAAAATTCATACTTTTCGGTGTCTTGAACGGGTTAATTTGATTAACATTATTTCTCATGGGGAAAATTAATTCTACCTACGATCATTTCGTCTTGCAATGGGCTCTCAGGAACGGATTAATATCGTAGGTCAGTGGTCCACTGTATTAGCTTGTAATTAAAAAAGAAATTAACTGTTACCTATAGAGGTACTTTTATCTAACTAATCGATTTTCTTAATTTTTATGTTTTCCCTGACAGCATTTCATTTCCATAGCTCTCTTATACATGAATAGATCTCTGTTCCGAGTTATCTGGTTATCTTGAATTGTCAGTTTTTCTGTTTTCCCTTGTTTATTTTGTATGGCATTTCAACTATGTCTTCTGAGTTTCTAGTTAATTATGTGAGTGGGAAGAACTGCAAGTTTTTTTTCTTGTATAGTTTTACAGGACACTTGCATTTACAGGTTGAAGATGAATGTGGCAGCATCCCCATGGTATTGGTACAAAACAAGATTGATCTCATTGACCAGGCTACTGTCAAACCGTGAGTATCTGCTCTAACTTCCCAGATTTGGCTAATATATTTCAGTCTTGAGGTTCTTTCACATTAGCTCAATGCTGCATTGTTTTAGATCTAGGTTACTTTGATTATATTATTATTATCCCTAGGTAGTAGGTTGGTAGACGGCAACCACCCAGGGAGGTACTACCGTCCTGCTAAGTGTAAAACAGAAGCCTGTACATGTATTTGTTTTACATGATGGTAAGATTGCTGGTGTCTTTTTTTTCTGTCTAATAAACATGTAAAACTTCAGGTACATCTTGCTACTTCTACTTACACTTAGGTCACACTACACATGCATGTACAAACATGTATATACACACCGGTGTGGTTTTTTTTCTATTTTCTTACTAGTTCTTGTTGATTTCCTCTTATCTCCATGGGAAAGTGGAACAGAATTCTTCCTCCGCAGGCCATGCATGTCGTGAGATGCAACTAACATGCTGGGAGCAAGGGGCTAGTAACCCCTTCTCCTGTATACATTATTAAAGTTAGAAAGAGAAACTTTTTTTTTTTCTTTTTGGGCCACCCTGCCTCGGTGGGATATGGCCAGTTTGTTGAATGAATATTATTATCGAGTTTTCCATAGGACAGTAATTGAAATTTGTCTTCGTTGAACTTCATATTGTTTTCTGTGACTCGTTTAAAGATTTGGTTCATGTCTGCTTGGAGATTTGCAATGTCTTCAGTGGATGACACTGTCATGCATATTAGGTTATCATCAGCAAAGGAGATATGAAGATGAGGAAAAAGATGGGAACAAGTACTGTACCTTGTGGAACAGAGCTTTTCACTGTAGCCGCCTCTGACTTTACTCTGTTTACTATTACTCTTTGTGTTCTGTTTGTCAGAAAGTTGTAGATCCATCTATCCAATTTTCCTAGTATTCTTAGTATAAGTGAAATTTGCTCCCACTGCCTCATGTTACTTTGGCAGACCCAATAACACTTCCCTGTTTTAATGTCATTTGCAGTAGACTGGTGCATATTTGCACATGAGCCATGACTCCATTTTTCACAAATTGCATGCTACCCAAGTGACATCTCGCTTGGTACTAGATCTGCAGTTTTCACAGGTTTTCATGGTGATAATTTTTTCATTGTTTACCTGGAGTTTAAGTGGAGAGAGTTCTGGGGGGTCAACGCCCCCACGGCCCGGTCTGTGACGAGGCCTCCTGGTGGATCAGAGCCTGATCAACCAGGCTGTTACTGCTGGCTGCACGCAATCCAACGTACGAGCCACAGCCCGGCTGGTCAGGTACCGACTTTAGGTGCTTGTCCAGTGCCAGCTTGAAGACTGCCAGGGGTCTATTGGTAATCCCCCTTATGTATGCTGGGAGGCAGTTGAACAGTCTCAGGCCCCTGGCACTTATTGTATTGTTTCTTAATGTGCTAGTGACACCCCTGCTTTTCATTGGGGAAATGTTGCATCATCTGCCAAGTCTTTTGCTTTCGTTGTGAGTGATTTTCGTGTGCAAGTTCGGTACTAGTCCTTCTAGGATTTTCCAGGTGTAAAATAACATGTATCTCTCCCGCCTGCATTCCAAAGGGGAAAACAGGTTCAGGAACTTCAAGCGCTCCCAATTAAATTTAGGTGTTCTATCTCCCTTATGCGCGCCGTGTAGGTTCTCTGTACATTTTCTAGGTTTAGCAATTAAACCCGCCTTGAAAGGTGCTGTTAGTGTCAAACAATATTCCAGCCTAGATAGAACAAGTGACCTGAAGAGTGTCATCATGGGTTTGGCATCCCTAGTTTTGAAGGGTTCCCCATTATCCATCCTGTCATTTTTCAAGCAGCTGCGATTGATACAATGTTATGGTCTTTGAAGGTGAGATCCTCCGACATGATTACTCCCAGGTCTTTGACGTTGGTTTTTCGCTCATTTTTGTGGCCAGAATTTGTTTATACTCTGATGAAGATTTAATTTCCTCGTGTTTACCATATCGGAGTAATTTTAAATTTCTCATTGTTGAACTTCATATTGTTTTCTGCAGCCCATTGAAAAAATTTTGGGTTTATGTCCGCCTGGAGCCTTGCAAATGTCCTGCAATGGAAGATACTGTCATGCAGATTCGGGTGTCATCTGCAAAGGAAGACACGGTGCTGTGGCTGACATCCTTGTCCTAAAGCGGATATGAGGGTGAGAAACAAGATGGGAGCGAGTACTGTGCCTTGTGGAACAGAGCTTTTCACCGTAGCCGCCTCGGACTTTACTCTGTTGACTACTACTCTTTGTGTTCTGTTTGTGAGGAAATTATAGATCCATCTACCAACTTTTCCTGTTATTCCTTTAGCACGCATTTTGTGCGCTATTACACCATGGTCACACTTGTCGAAGGCTTTTGCAAAGTCTGTATATATTACATCTGCATTCTTTTTGTCTTCTAGTGCATCTAGGACCTTGTCATAGTGATCCAATAGTTGAGACAGACAGGAGTGACCTGCTCTAAACCCTTAGGACCCTTTCAAAGATTTTTATGATATGGGATGTTAGTGCTATCGGTCTGTAGTTCTTTGCTATTGCTTTACTGCCCCCTTTGTGGAGTGGGGCTATGTCTGTTGTTTTTAGTAACTGTGGGACGACCCTCGTGTCCATGCTCCCTCTCCATAGGATGGTAAAAGCTCATGATAGGGGCTTCTTGCAGTTCTTGATGAATACTGAGTTCCATGAGTCTGGCCCTGGGACAGAGTGCATGGGCATGTCATTTATCGCCTGTTCGAAGTGATTTGGCGTCAGGATAACATCAGATAGGCTTGTGTTAACCAAATTCTGTGGCTCTCTCATAAAAAATTCATTTTGATCTTCGACTTTCAGTCTGGTTAGCGGCTTGCTAAAAAACAGTCATATTGGGACTTGAGTAGCTCACTCATTTCCTTGCTGTCATCTGTGTAGGACCCATCTTGTTTAAGTAGGGGCCCAATATTGGACGTTGTTCTTGACTTTGATTTGGCATAGGAAAAGAAATACTTTGGGTTTCTTTCGATTTCATTTATGGCTTTTAGTTCTTCCCGCGATTCCTGACTCCTATAAGATTCCTTTAGCTTAAGTTCGATGTTTGCTATTTCTCTGGACCATGACCCCCCTACGCATTTCAGATATATTGGCCTTTTAAACCGCTCTGTTATTCCCTTTTTTTGTCGCCTGTAAAGGGAGCGCCAGTCTCTTTCTATTTTTCATCTACTCCTCCTTTTTCTTAAAGGGAAAAAGCCTTTAGCATACATCGAGTGCCACAGAGTTAATCTGTTCTAGGCATAAGTTGGGGTCTGTGTTGCTTAGTCTATCTTCCCAGCTTATATCGGTTAGGACTTGGTTTACTTGGTCCCACTTTATGTTCTTGTTATTGAAGTTGAATTTGGTGAAGACTCCCTCGTGACTAATCTCATTATGTCGGTCTGGGGCTCCACGCATACATGTCTGAACCTCAATTATGTTGTGATCTGAGTATATTGTTTTTGATATGGTGACATTTCTTATCAGATCATCATTGTTAGTGAAGATGAGGTCTAGTGTATTCTCCAGTCTAGTAGGCTCTATTATTTGCTGGTTTAAGTTGAATTTTGTACAGAGATTTAAAAGTTCGTGTGTGTGAGAGTTTTCGTCAGAGCTGCCTCCTGGTGTTATCACTGCAACAACATTATTTGCTATATTCTTCCATTTTAGGTGCCTTAAGTTGAAATCCCCCAGGAGCAAGATGTTGGGGCAGGAGCTGGCAGATTTTCCAGACAGTGGTCAATTTTTAACAGCTGTTCCTGGAATTGCTGGGACGTTGTATCCGGAGGCTTGTAGACTACCACAATGACTAGGTTTTGGTTCTCGATCTTTACTGCTGAAACTTCCGCTACATCATTTGAAGCATTAAGCAGTTCTGTGCAAATAAGTGACTCTGTGATATACAACCCTCCCTTCCCCCTTTTGCCTGTTCACTCTGTCGCATCTGTATAGGTTGTAACCTGGGATCCATATTTCATTGTCCAAGTGATCCTTTATGTGGGTCTCAGTGAAAGCCGTGAAAATTGCATTTGCCTCTGCAAGCAGTCCATGGATGAAAGGTATTTTGTTGTTCGTTGCTGGCTTTAGACCTTGTATATTTGCAAGGAAGAATGTCATCGGACTGGTGGTATTGGTGGTACTGGGGGGGAATTTTTTTTCCGGCATTACTATCTGTATCTGTTGGTTTGGAGTGGAGGCCATTGACTGTGGTTCCACTCCAGGAATGACTGGATTTGGTGTACGATTTCTGCCATTTCCTGCCAGTTTTTTTTTTCCTTCCTGGCACTAAAAAACCTCTCCCTCTTGGGTGGCTGTGGCTACCCAGGTTTTCCCATGGCCTGGATGTTTTGTATCTTTTTGTCCCCTTTAAATGGTGTGCCTAGCAATTTAAGTTATAGTACAGTCTTTCCTGTACTGAAGAGGGACACATTTCAGGGTGAAAAAGCTTGCAGGAAGGGAGTTTGCATTTTCCTGTTGTCATATGGGCACGACATTTTCTAGAGTGGTCAAAGTTGCACGTCCCATCTGTTTTTCCAGATTTCCGATGCCTGCAGATACCAAGTGCATAGTATGTGCACAGGCTTGGTTTCCGTTTGCCTTTGGTTTCTGTGACTGTATTCCCTGTTGGTGCATGTTTACCTGTCTCTTTCCTATCCTCACTAGCACTAACAATGGGGCTCTCACCAGTTTTTTTGGTAATGTATCCTCACTAATGCTAGTGGAGTCCCCTTGTTTGCTATCTCCTGTGGTATTACTAGTTTGTAATATTGGTTTTATCTTGTCCTTGACTACACTTGTTTCCCCACTACAGCTCCTGTCTCCCTCAAGGTCATTTATATGCATTCCCTCCTGCGTACATTTACTGACTACCTGGACAGCATCTCCTCCCTCACCATTACTGTCTCCCAGGACAGCACCTCCAGCTTCACCATTACTGTCTACCAGGACAGCATTATCAGCCCCACATTTACTGACTACCAGGGCAGCACCT